CCTAGTCTCAAATTGTAGCAAATTTAGTCTTCTTTAAAAGTATGTAGAGTGACTATACCGGTCAAACCCTTCCTTCACTGAGATATTGAGCAGAAACTGAAATAGTCCGAAAATTTCATGTTTTTTTAGATACACCTCCGCTCGACCAGCCCTTTTGAAATTGCAAATCTGGTTTTTAATATTGGTTTAGGTCCTAAGAACATATAAAAAATGTAGAACGACCGAACCTTTTGCAAGCACGACTTTACTGGACTATTAATGTACCTGCCTACATCAAATTATCATTATGTCTTTAAATAAATTTTAACTTAAAACGCGAAATTATTTATCGATCGCGCATCTCATCGCTTTGGTTTAATGGAGCATGAAAACTTTAAAAGGTCATCCCGAGGGAATTTTCGTTTATTTAGAAAACCGTAATGGCCTCAAGGTTCGGTGCTCAACCGAATTTGCGAGAAAATGAGATTTTTATTATACATTTTTATCAGACTGCGAACTAATCGGAAATCAAAATTTTATTATTAATCGTTTTTAGATGAGATTTTCGTATCTGGTAATAGATATTTGCAGGGTGGATCGAGTATGATATTATATTCGGTGTTTGGGAAATGATTGCATCTACAATAAGTGACAGTTTCCATGGGATTTCCTTAATAAATATTTATCAAAATGTCTTATTGTAGTTTTTGAGATATGGAAAGATTTAAACCATTTTTTTACATGGTGTTATTTTTGCAGAGTTAAATTCATTCGGATAAATATAATTTTGAAATATTATATTTAGGGAACGTCAAGGGGTTCACGTACTTTAACAGAAACTTATTTTAGAATTTCCGCTGTTATATCATCTACACCGGAGGCTTTAATATTTTTAGGGAGTTGATGATTCTTTTAATTCCCTTTTTGAAAGTTGGAGCCAAGAAGATGCTAGTTTTACTTGTTTTATGGAAGTGGAGTAGTTGGAGATTTATTTCTTTAGAAGTATATTGTTTTCCCTACAATTGAATAATAGAGGGATATTGCAAATTTCTATAACGCCAGCCACAGGCACAATGTTTAAGTCAGTTTTAGAACAAACGATCTGCGCATGCTTAGATGTCAAAATAAGGGCGGCACTAATAGTGACTGACCTTAAGTGAACTTGCAATAACTCTATAATAATTATTAAATTTATGTGCTATTTCAGTTATGTTTTTTTTGTGTCATCGGCTTCAACTGCTAAGGTTAATTACTTTTGAAGGAAATACAGAAAAATATTTTTTTTTTCAATCTAATAAAAGGTTTGCCAAAATAATTGATTAGTCGATTATTATTTTTTGAAAAATCGATAATCGATTAATCCTTGTTTTGATAATCGATTATTTTCGTTTAATCGATTATTACGATTATTTTCCTTTAATCGATTATTTATTTTGATAAGCCCTACTTCTACTATATAAATATGTATAGTTAGCAGTGCTTGGCATTATGAAGGTCTAATTTGTTTTACTTTCAACCATGCAAATATAATAAAGTTGAGGAAAGATTTTCGATTTATAAAGAGACATCCATATAAATGTTTATGATAACATGCTTAACTTTTTAATAAGTATTGTTTGTACAGTTAAGGTTTCTAATTCCCTCGGTCCTTCAGTATGTGGTCATTGTTTACAAGATATCTACTCGTATATTAATTAGATTTAAAACTTAAATACCTACTTGCATACCTGTAAGGATTCTCACTATAGAAATATTTCAACGAATAATACAGGTATGATAAATAATACTAATAATAATACCATTATATGACGTTAACTCATATCGGCATACCTAAAAACAGATTGGTCAGATTTTATTTAATATTGTTTTATTTTATATTATTGTTATATTGTCTAAAGGTGTAAATGGAATTGCATAATTGTTTAAGCAAAAAGTAAGCTATTCGCTTCGTGCGCGACAGCAGTGCCAATTTGTTTAGGTACTAATGGACTATTTCTATGTATACTGACAATACAATTTTTAATAGAATTCGTAATTAAAAAGTATACAGTATGGTTCAAATGAAAGGAATAAATTCATTATAATGGAAGTAGTTGGTTTTTCGAAAAAATGCTCGGACAGGTCAATTTTGTTTACTCAAAGCGCAATTTTTTAAATAGAATTCAATTTTCCCCCACTTCACATTTTTGGGCAGTGACGTCATTGACAATTTTTTTAAATAGTAACTCCAATTTCTTTTTCTTGATTTTGATAGATCTTGCAATTTCCTACTCGGAAACATAATATTTGAAATATCTTACATAACAATTTTTTTTTAATAAAAGACATTTAAAGATCAGACACATAAATTTTATTTTATTTTGAGAACACAATAAATTAATAAAAGATAATTATTTGTAATTAAGTGCTTAATCTAACAAAATAATTAATAATAATATAAACTATAAATTGTCCTTCGTATAAAATCTTGGGTAGCTCTGTCAACTGATTTCAGTTTTTCTTTACATGTTTTTCGGTTTTATGAATAATCCACAGCAACCCCTTTCGTGACTACCGGATAAACGGAAAATTTATTTACTTTAGTTAATTCAGCAATTGTTATTATGAACGCATTATCAGACTGCTGAATATTTTCCTTTTTTAAACATTCGAATATATTTAAAATAACTTGTTGTGTTTGTATATCTAAATCCTTATCGTTAAAGTCATACCTGTCTTTAATCTCACTACACTGTGCAATTTCATTTTCTTCATTCGCCCATGGTCTAAAGAGCGCCATATTTATATTTATTAAAAGAAATTTAAATTAAACCAACCACACATACAAAACACACCGCGCGACAGTACTCCACTGATATCGCAGACTGTCTTCCAGGAATATTTTCGAACACCTGCCTTCCGTAAACCTTCGGCCAATACAGTGCATTTAAGTTTACGATTCGATGTTTTCATTGGTAAACAACTGATGGTTCGTTTAATATTTACCGCTTTGTATAAGGGGAGTAAACATTATTTTTCGTTTCTTAATTTGGCATGAGTACCGTGCGTATATATTAAATATTGATGATTCCCCACATAACTGTGTTCTGCAATTGATAATGGAAAGATAACTGGTTTCGGGACATAGCAGCCTTTCGGCCAGAGTTTAAATCAAAATGTATGTGACTGATTATTTTTTTAAGAATAATTCTTTAGTCCAGTGTAAGCCATTGACTGTAGTAATAACCTAGTTATTTGGTTTATTTCAATAGGTTGCATTTTAATTATATTTAGAATTTTTGTGTATTCTTTATATTTTTAAGAATAATTCTTTGGTTCAGTGTAAGCCATTGACTGTAATAATAACCTAGTTGTTCGGTTAATTGAATATTTAGTAAAAACCTTTATTATTTTTAGAATTTTTGTGTATTTTTTAGATTTGTACTTGTAATAATGCCAATTATCACATCTGTACCTACTGATTGGCCCAAATCGATCAACCTTAGTAACTATTATTATCGCGGAAGCTCCATCTGTAGTGACTCAACTTTATTCAATAGTTCAGTTTAAAAGCACTAGAAATATTAACAAAAATATCTCCTCTCCGTCTTTCATGGCTAAACGACACGTGTTGTAATATTTGCATGTGTACGAAAAATGAATATTTCACGTGCCCGTTCCTTATAACTATTCCTAAACATACCTAATCAATAATTTTAATTATATTACTTGCAAAACTTTGTTATCGAACCATCTTAGAAAATGCAGCTTTCTTGCGTAATTTTCGAATGAATTAAAAACGTTCATTATGTACGTAGGTATGAATTTCTGACGCTCGTTGAGCTCGTGTTCAAATATTTTTTTATAACGATATAATTTTCACATCATCACAGGAAATTCGACCGTTATACGTTATATAAGTACATAATTTAATTATACACCAAATTTTATGATTATCCGGTTATTGTTGGTGTATATTACGGGGATTTTTGATCGTCCGATCATTGTTTGAAAACAAGTTATGAGGAGAATAACATTTTAATTGTCAAATTTGAATAAATTCGTGTATTGTTTGAAAAATCAGTATACAGTGTGTCCAAATTCAAGTCTCTTGCTTCAAGTAAATTTTGAGGAGAATAGAAAAACACTTGAAATACCGTTTAATTGTTGAATTTGAATAAATTAAAGTATTGTTCGAAAAATCAGTATATAGTATGCACAAATTTATTAAGTTATTTAATTATTGAGTTATTTAAAAGAAAAGCTTAAAATTGACGATTTTGTTTTTATTAAATAGCGATTTAACCTTCAATTTAATATTTTCCAAAGTGTTACATTCTTTATACACTTTTTAATGGAGAAACATTAAAATTATTTTTGATGTTCGAGTTTGGTACTTACCGTAACTTTGTTATTTGCCTCCTAAATTACCTTATAATCGATTTGTCATGCCATATACTTTTGTACATAACGGGGTGTGTTTAGAATGCCAGGACGTACAACTAGGAAATAAATTGCGTTTTTACCCAATGTTTCTGAACGACTGTCATTGCGTAACCATTCTTTAATATTAACAGTTCGTGTCAACGGCAAATATAGAAGGTCTATAAAATGAGATTGAAATTCGGTATTTGTAGAATGTTGAATACACTGTTCTATATATTATAGCACCAGATAAGTTCTCTACGATTTAATATAGACCTTTTTTATGGCCAGAGAAAACAGCAATTTTACAACTTACTTTCCTCATCTTCATCGTCACTCTCTGCCTGTTCAAAAATTAGTTCGGTGAACTCAATTTATTTCAAACTCAACTTTTACAATATTCAAATATGAACATTAACGTACAACTGCCCCGTGATGTCAGGATGTTTCTTGACACGGAATGACATTTCTAGACTGTTCTCTCTTCTTCTTTTATTCGTATTTTTACTCATGATAACCGCAGCACACTGTTAGGTTATGGATCACATTGTACTTCTTCTTTTACTATGAATATTTTGAATATGCTTGAAGAAAAAAATATGTTCTCGTTGTTTCAGAGGATTGGTTGCTCCGGTCGCTCAAATGTCTCCCGATCAGCCCTTCGGATCAGTTAAATCGTTGACAGGTGGGAGGGAGGTGGCGAGTTTTCCTTTATCGAGGACACCGACACCACCACCACCGAATCCAAATTTTGACAGGTAATTATTATTTCAATATAAGTTCGTATTTACAATTTTATGCATTTGTTTAATATATCTAATAACAAGAGGTTTAGGCCCTCAGTATTTATTTAATTATGTTTTTTTTTCTACGCCCATGTCAGTAAACGTTAAAAATCCCACTGTCAACATTCCTTGTAAATGACATTTAACAATAACATGCACGTAATGAGATCTCATATCATACACGTGCGTTTTGATAAGAAAACTTATATCTACGTAAGACTTTATTTGGTCTATTTACATAAATTTAGTCAATTGAAAGACATAAAAACTTTTAGTTTTAGCGAGATGCATTTTGAATTAAAAAAGTGATGCCCCAAAATTTCGGCAACACATTATACATTAAACAAAATATTGTATTCGAACATTTTCTTAACTTTACCTATGAATATATCTGTTAGTAGTGAAAGTGATAAAATTATGAGCACTCCACCGGAGATTTTAGAAAAAGCTCAAGCTGCCACACATAATTTGTTACCGCTAAAATTCAAAAAAAGGTACGAAATTACCTATCGAAAATTTATGGATTGGCAACACAAGCATATGTCCTTTATTTAATAGAAGAAAATAAGTAGGCGTAGAAAAAGTATAGTACGTTACACGAGTTGTATGCCCATTACGCACTGGTGAAATTTAGGCACTCGCCGCTGCGCGGCTTCGTGCGTAAACTTTTTTACTTCGTGCGTAATGGGTAACTTACAACTCTTGTTGCGTAATATACTATAACGTTTCCTTTTTAAATACTTTCTTGTAATAGGTTGTCAGTAAACTATGTATACAGACAATCATAACATTTTTGAAATTCGTGAAATTGGCACCGCCAAATTCACATTTTTATGAAAAATGGTTTGTATTAATTTGTCTTTATTGGAACAAAAATGTTCTTTCGTATTCCCTTTAATAAAGTTAAGGATAAATTAAAAATTCGAGCCAAATTTGACATTAACACAGATATAAACACTTTTAATTAATTTTAAAGTGGCATTCCATTGTCCACATTTGTCCAACCAGAAATTAAGTTCCAAAGCGTGATTTAAAAAAATAAAAAATGCACGTTTATCCATCCAAAAGAAATTAGTTATTAACAAAATAAAGGACCCAAAATATAAGCAATTATTAACCTAAGTACCTCTAACTGCCTTTTAATAAAACTAACTACTGGAATCGTTTATTCATTCAATATTTTCTTATGTTCACCCAAAAGAAATTAGTTGTTAACAAAATGAAGAACCAAAATATAAACAGTTTTTAAACTAACTGCAATTTCGTCAAACATAAGTACTGGAATCGTTTATCATTGATTCACACATTATTTTCGTTTATTCTGGCCTTATTTTCATTTGTCCAACAAAAAGAAATTAGTTATTAACAAAATATAGAACCCAAAACCTAAACAATTATTAACCTAAGCACTTCTAACTGCATTTTATTAAAACTAATCACTGGAATCGTTTGTCCATTATTTTCTATTTTCGAAGCTTTATTTTCATTTGTCCACTCAAAATAAATTAGATATAAACAAAATAAGAGACCCAAAATATAAACAATTATAACCTAATCACGTCTAACTGCATTTTATTAAAACTTATGACTGGATTCATCATATTTTCGTATTCGGAAAAACAGATTGTCTCAATAACATTGTGATAAAAGTGAAAGGACCTAAAAAAAAGGGTAAGGTACCTGTAGGATTAAAACATTCAATTTCAGGGTGTGCATTTTAACTAGCGGATTAAGGAAAGCGGTAGTATTCACGATATATCCAACTAAAGTTAGGATGTCACGCACAGTGGGCGGTCCTTAAGCAACGTCACTCATAGCGACTGTGCTTACGTTGTTCTTTTAATCAATTGTAGAGATTAGATGAAATCTGGTTCGACACTCACGACATCATAAAAAAATGTTGGACTGATGGAAGTTTAAAATGTAATGTAGACACTCCTCCATCTCGAGGAAAAAGAATATGTATCTTACATTGTGGTGGAGAATCAGGTTGGGTAGAAGGAGCTCTCTTGCTGTCTACAAAGGATGTACGGGATAGTAGTTTGGACTACCACCAGGACATAGAAAGTACTCTTTTTGAAAAATGGTTTGAGAGTACATTACTCCCAAAACTAAATGAAAATAGCGTAATAGTTTTAGATAATGCCCCGTACCATTCTCGGTTGGTACGAAAAAAACCAAATACCAATTCTACGAAATCAGTGATTCATGACTTTCTGATGGAGAATGATATATTTTTTGAAGAAAACTACACAACAAAACAGTTATAGAACTTTTACAGTTGGTTGATTTTTAACCTGAATATGTTATCGACACCATAGCAATTAAACACGGAATCAAAGTTTTGCATTTACCACCCCCTACCACTGTATTTTGAACCCCATAGAATTATTATGGTCACAGTTAAAAAATTATTCTCGAGCAAATAACTCTTCTTTTAAGTCCGCTTCTTCTGTAATTGATGTAGTAAGAAATGCATTTAACTGTATAACTGATGAAAACTGGAAAATCGCTATTCAACATTTTAAAAAAATCGAAAAGAAATATAATATGATTTAACAATATAATTAAAAAAATTGAAATAAATTTGGATGATACTGTTGATGATAGCGATATTATTTCAGAACATGAAATTGGTGACTGTGAAAGTGATTTAGAAATATAGACGTTTTTAAATTCATTTACCTACATTTCCGCAAAATAAATCTAGTGAAACATATTCTTTTTAAATTAATACTTAATAATTTTAGTCAGTTTCAATATATTTTTTAGTTGAACATGTGATAATAAAACCTTCGTTTTTTTTTAATACAAGTTCTTAGGGTATTATATTTTTTCAATGCAATTTAGACCGCAAAAGGATCTTTGTAGAAATCAAATTTTAAAAATGATCTTTAACATTTGAATAAATAACACTCAACCTAAGCCGGCTCTGATTAGTATATTGTCGAACATTTCAAGAGATTGCCAGACCATTGCGCTTTCTAGATTATCTTGCAATGGACTATACTACCCTTTATTGCCCAAGCGAATATTTAATTCAGGTAAAATAAAAATATTAAATATTTTGGGTCTTTATTTGTTAATAACTGCAAACGAACGAAAGGATAAACGAAAGTAAGGGTTGGACAAACGAAAATGATTTAATAAACATTTCCAGTAGTTATTTTTTATAAAATGCAGTTAGAAGTGCTTAAGTTAATAAATTGTTTAAATTTTACTCGATATTTTGGGTTCTTTATTTTGTTAATAATTAATTCTTTTGGGTGGACAAACGAATATCAGGGTTGGACAAACGAAAATGAATGAATATACGATTCCAGTAGTTAGTTTTTATAAAATGCAGTTATAAGTTCTTGGCTTAATAATTGTTTATATTTTGGGGGTCTTTATTAACTAATTTATTTTGGATGGACAAACGAATATCAGAGTTGGACAAAAGAAAATTAATGAATAAACGATTCTAGTAGTTAATTTTTACAAAATGCAGTTAGAAGTTCTTAGATTGATAATTGTTTATATTTTGGGTTCTTTATTTTGTCAACAACTAATTTATTGTGGATGGACAATCGAATATCAGAGTTGGACAAACAAAAATTAATGAATAAACGATTTCAGTATTTAATTTTTACAAAATGCAGTTAAAAGTTCTTAGATTAATAATTGTTTATATTTTGGGTTCTTTATTTTGTTGACAACTAATTTATTTTGGATGGACACACGAATATCAAGGTTGGACAAACGAAAATTAATGAATAAACGATTTGAGTAGTTAATTTTTACAAAATGCAGTTAGTAGTTCTTAGATTAATAATTGTCTATATTTTGTTTTCTTTATTTTGTCAACAACTAATTTATTTCAGATGGACAAAGGACTATCGGGGTTGGACAAACGAAAATAAATTAATAAAGGTTTCCAGTAGATAATTTTTATAAAATGCACCTAGAAATTCTTATGTTAATAATTGACTATGTTTTGGGCTCTTCATTTTGTTAATAACTAATTTCTTTTGGGTGGACAAACGAATGTCGGTGTTAGACCAAACGAAAATGAGCGAATAAACGATTCCAGTAGTTAGTTTTTATAAAGTGCTTAAGGTTAATAATTGTTTAGATTTTGGGTTCTTTATTTTGTTAGTACCTAATTTCTTTTGGGTAAACAAATTAATACAAAGCATGGATAGACAAAAATAATTAATGAACAAACAATTGCCGTATTTAAATCGAAAGTAATGTGCATTATTTTTTTTTAAATGTCTCGCTTCTGGAGGCTAGGAAAACGAAACTTTTGGTTGGATAAACGTGGACAATCAAATGTTACTTTGAAATAAAAACTGTTTATAGGGGTACTGATGTTAAATTTAGCTCGAATTTTCAATTGGGTGATAACTTTTTTAAAGGGTGTACAAACGAACATCTTTGTTATTATGGGCAAATGAATGGCAACTATTTTTCTTAGAAATTTGTATTTGGCGAACTGCATTCTTGATCCTTTCATCTCTCTCAGGAATGAGGACATCTTATAATTTTCTATATGTAGTCGGATATGATGTATAATATTGATTTTTTTTTCAACAGTCCAAATCTAGTCCAAGTACCAGACGAACAGAATCTGATGGAATCACAATTCGAACACGTACCAGTGCACAGAAACGGTCCCAGGAAATCGGTATCGATAGTGTTGCCGACAGAAGAGAAAGGATGACCCATAGATCTCTAGCAAAGTTGCTAAATCTAAATCCGTTTATACAAGAAAGTATTTTCCCCTCTTCTTTTAATTCGTTCGCATTGTACGGAGGGTTTGCAGTAAATACTCAAATTAGCTCGAGGAAAGCTTAGATTCTGACGATAGCGCTTGTTCAAATATTTTAAACTCTTGTACCGTTCATACCAAATCTTCATAATCAATTTTTTCTAAGAATAGTAGACTTTGATTAAAAGACACCTTAAAACAGTGAAAACTCGCTGGCGAGTTAGTTAACTAATATTTAGTCACTGTCTAAAGTTGACTGTTTATCAAATTATGTTTTAAATATACGTTTTAAAGAAACATTATTTATTATTACTAACGAGTCTAGAAAAATAATATTCGAACCCGGTATAATTTTTTTAAATAGTTCATGTAAATTCATGTACGAGGAACAAATAATATTTAATTTAGCGGTAGTTTTGAAGACCAATAAGTTCTTTCAAATTGTATTTTGTGAATTGTGATAGTATTTTTCTATATTTTTTTTAGCTTTTTGATGATTTTTTTTATGAAATTTTATATATTAGTTATAGGAGTTATAGCAACTTGATAAAGGTAAACTTAAATATTGCTCGAACCTCGTACAATTCTTTCAAATCTATAATATACCAAGATTCAATTATAATTAATGTTATCCAGAAATCCCTAGAACGTGTAATATTCGTATAAATATATTAAACAGTTCTTATACGAGGATTAATTAATATATTTGTTACATGTTGCACTTTGATATTTAACAACTTTTAAACGAATTATAATTATTCCACATGAAGTTAAATTTAAATATTGCTCGAACGTTGTATAATTTTTCAAGCCGACATTATACCAGGATTCAATATTAATGTCATCCAGAAGTCTAAAAACGTATATAAATAAATATTTAAGTTTAACAATTCTTATACAAGGATTTATTATTTATTATATTTGTTATATGTTGCACTTTTATATGATTATAAAGTGTTTTTTGAGGGAAATTCGAAATTCTAAATCTTCGTAATGTTGGCTAAAATATTTGGGTATTTACAACCTCCCATTTTCGAAACAACTATCCAATCATATTTGTAATTCAATTATTAATCATTCATAACTTTAAAAAGAAGATCTAAGCTATTTTTTACGTGTTAGGCACATTTTTTTATATTATGTTTGTTGAAAAAGCTACGTAGCGATATTTTATTAGAAATGCGGAGCTGATGACTTTTAGACAGAAAATAAGCAAAAAACCTAACAAAACTATTTTAAATATGTTTTTTTAACGTTTCGTGATTGTTTATTTTTTTATAACCGTACTATTAAAAAAAATCGATAAATTTATTGATATTTAATTTGAAATTATATTAAACTGCCTTTTGGTTTTATTTTGCCAGCACATAATTCTCCGGTAATTTTGCGACTACATTTTTGTTTAATTAACAATTCAAATGCTAAATTTTTTGAAAATACAACGGACTTATTAGTGCCGCAAAAAATATAAAAAACACAAAATTTTAAGTAAAAAGGACGAAAAATTCTAAACAAAAAGAAGAACGTAACATAACCTACAAATACTATATAAATATCTGACTGTCACGGCCAAAAAAGAAAAATGTCGAAAACTGTTCAAAATAATTTTTATATTACTTTCTTTTAACAATTCATTTGGTTTGTAGATATCAGTATATATTTAAATTATGACAGTTTTAGTTTGAATCAAAAAGTAAATCGGTTATTTTCAAAATTTTGCGATTTTTCTCAAAATTTAGACTTTCGTTTTTTTTTAAATTGTCTTTATTTTCTAAAATTTTTATATTTTCTCAAAATTTTGACTTTCCATCTTTTTTTTTTCTCCTGAATTTAATATTTCTAAATTTTTACATCGTTTTCTTAAAATTTTCACTTTATTACTTAAAATATACTTTATCTCAAAATTGTTACTTTAATTCAAAATTTGACAATATTTTCTAGAAAATTTCACTTTATTAAAACATAGTTTTATTTATGTCAGAATTTTGACTTCTTTCTCCCTCAAAATTTAAAATGTAGATTATTTTTGCCTTATTTCTCAGAATGTTATCTTTATTGTCTCAAAATTTTGATATTATTTTTTTTAAATTTAGATTTTTCAACGTTTTTCTAAAAATTTTGACATCATTTTCTCAAAATTTTCACTTTATTAAAATATAGACTGTTTATATCAAAATTTTGAGTTTATTTCCTCAAAATTTTGAATTTTTAACTGTTCTCAAGATATTGACATCATTTTCTCTATGAAATTTTGACTTTCTTTTCATCATCTTTCTTTGATTGTCTCAACACTTTAATATCGTTCTCTTAAAATTTTGATTTTTCAAATCGGTTTCTTAAAATTTTGACATAATTTTCTCAGTTTTCACTTTATTTATAAAAATATAGACATTGTTTACTTACTTAAAAAATTTTAGTTTTTTATCTTAAAGTTTATTCATTAAAATTTCAATTTTTTTGAAAGTATCATGTAACATAAAAATTAAAAATATCGACAGTAGATGGTGAATGACGGTGCAAATGTGCAGGTCAATTACCTCATTTTCTACTCATTGGCGACGGGCCTAAATAATTTCGATCAAATCAATGTAAAAAACACAAAAATATGGTTTAAAATTAAAAAAAAATACTTGAGAATTTTGTGATGGCCTAGACATTTCGTTCAAAAAATCCTACCTATAGTTCTGAAAGCAAATCAGCTCTTTTCGCGTACATTAAATGATGATATTGTACCAATTTTTTCTATATGATCAAAGATATCATGATAATTTTAGGTTAAGCGCGAGAAGAATTTAGTAAAATCCCCGCTGGTGATTCTAACTCGAAATATAAAATACTAAACCAATGGTTGCGGGAATTTTACAGAAAAACTCGTTAATTCGTTTATAGGATTTATAAATGTCATAAAATTTCTTCAGTGATATTATTTATTTACATAATGTGTAGAACGTTTCGGAAATGATTCTTTTCCTCGCGACTTTGAAAAAGAAAGAGTATTAAATATAATTTTCCAGGTTCGATGTCAAATAAATAACAAAACTTTGTGAAGATCGTAGTAAAATTTTAATATAAAAAAAAATCATTGAACGTGTTATATATATAGTGGAAGAAATAGTTATTATTAAAATAAAAACAAACTTTATTTAAAAAATTTATATTGATAAAAAGATTTCAGCAAGAATAGAAAAATAATTAAATAAAAAAGTTAATCATGAGTTTGTAAAAAAAATAATCATCTTCATAACTAATGACGATATTTAGAGTAGCTACAAATACAATAATTGTGCTCATCTTTAGTTTATCAAGTCAGGTATAAATAGTCATTTGCCTATCAAAACCATGCTAGAAATATTTGTTTTTGAATCTCCAGTTTTTTTTTACTTTAAATTCGACTTGCAAAATATTTTAAGTAGTTCTTGCTTATCTCATCAAATGTTGCATTCCAGTGTTATATCTAGTGAAAAATGGTTGAAGGACGTAGGAATAATTATCCAAAATGAAGCAAACATTCAGAGGTGTTTATAAAGACGATAAGAAGGATTTTGTAAATGTGGAAGTTCTCTCAATATGTAAAAACTTTCTTAATTTCGTAATTTTTGTTTTATTTTATTGAATTTGCTTGTTAATTCTTCTTGTTTTTTATTTGACATCCATAAAGACTGATTTATTTGTATAGCTTAATTGGGCTAAACATATCAAGTCGGCGATTTAGGAAAAAGAATCATTTCTTCTAATTTAACGTACTTATAATAATATTAATAATAATTAGGGTAATTTGTAGACCAATATATATATGGTGATTAATTTTTTCTCGCAATAATTTTTTTACTTTATTTTTTTTTTTTCGTGTTAAGTTTTTTTTTCCGTCCTTCAGTGCCAAAATTGATTTTGTTTTTAAGCAATAAGCAAATAAATCATTTATATTTTTAAATCTATCATATTATCGATTCATCCAAATAATATGAAGTATACTTAATATATTTTTTAAACATCTTGGATATAAAAGACATTAATGAAAATTATTCGGATTAAATCAACCTAAATAATATTTTTTTTTATTTAAATTTTTCGTATACAGTATATCTGAAAAAGTTGTATATAAATGGGAAACTTTTTATTTTTACAAAAATATGGTTTATAAAGTCCTGTATTATTCATAATTCAATAACCAATAATCTAATTTTTAAAATATTCATTGGTATACCTACAGGGAAAATCAAATTTTTTTTGAAGATTTTATTTTTTTGCAATATTTTGGTTTTTCGTCTTATGTTGAAAGAAAACACTCGGGATTTTGTTTTTGGGATATAATAAAAAAACAATATTGAAGTTCAAAATCAATGAATTTAAATTTTTCGTACCAAGAAATCAAAAAAGTGGGGCATATATATCCCATCCGTGTGTTTAGCTGGGACAGATATATCCCGTCAGTGATTTACAGGAATCAAATTGTAAAATATTTAGTGATATATAGGGAAAATCAAAAATATTTATTTTGCTGAAGAGTAAAATATTTTTAACCCTTCATGAGGGTTTTGTTTTTCGGAATATAATAAAAAAAAAACAGTATAAGGAGTTCAAAATTAATGAATTTTTATTTTTTTGTATGAAGAAAACGAAAAAAGGTGGGACACAGTCGTGTTTTAAGCTGGGACGGATATATCCCGTCAATGATTTACAGGAATCAAATTTAGTGATTAAAAACAGTGAAAAATCAAAAATATTGATTTTTACCAAAGTATATTTAACTCTTCTACTCCGCTTTTTTCGCTATATAGTGAAAGAAACCATTATAAAAACGACTAAAATTAACAAATTTAAATTTTTTGTAACAATAATAAAGTGGGACATATATCCCAGTCTGTTTTCAAATCTTTTACAATATTTTTTTTTTCGTAATATAATGAAAAATAAAACACTATAAAGAGTACAAAGTTGACGAATTTTTTTTG